CAAACTGGACAATAATTTTGGGACGGAGGGAGTACTCACTATTTTTCTAAAGGAAAATGATTTATCTAGTGAAAAAAATAGTGAAAAAAGATAGTGAGTGATGTGGAGTATTCTTAGCCATAAGTTTTTTGTCACTTTCTCGTTAAAATGTTATCTTTCTCGAAAATTATATTTTTACCCTTAATTAATAAGTACATATATTTAGTAATGATTGTATATTTGTCTTTTCATTAGTCACTATAATTAGTCACTGTCTCTATCATTGTTTTTTTCTAAATACATCTAAAAGACATCCCACCAACCCCAAAATCAATTCATGTAAGATAGTAAGAAAGAGGAAAAACAAAATATTCTTTTGGAGAAGTAATTTAAATTTCGCGTTGGTTCATCCAATCAGCACCTACTTATGAACCGTCAACATTTGGATGTTCATCCATTCAGCCTATATATTATTGCTCTCTACAATACTGACCCAACAGATATTCTCGTGTATTTTCGACATTTCTGACACCATTTCTCGTATGGTAATATTTGATTCTCAAATTTCCGATGTTCTTGTTCTACCTTCATCTTCATCGTATTTGTTTATTTTGCATTTTCAGTCGCTTACATTTTTCATATCTTCAACCCTTTTCTTTTCTGTCCTTTTATCTAGTCTAGTGAAACTATGTATTTTGCATTTTTTTATCAATTGAATAGGTAAATTACATCATATACTGCAGATCCTATATAATAATGAATTGCAAATGCTTCCACTGGCACGAAAGTTACACTGTGATTACATTATGTACTTTAATTAGATCCTGATAATGCTTCCATAGCCATGGAAGTTACACTGTATAAATTAAATTTCACTATAATCTCTTATCAGTTTTTTTGATGAAATGACAATCGGCTATGAGTTCGTATAATGTGCAGTCTGTTTTAGAGGATGGTTAGATGTTTTTTTTACAATATTATTATATATAATATAAGGATAAATGTCATTGGTATTCTATTCTTTTTTCTATTTTTTCTTATTAATGTAATAGTCTTTTGTAACTTTCTGATGGTTGCTTTATCTTTCTCTTCTATCCAGTTAAAAAATATTGACAAAGCAAGCTTACAAAAATACCACAAGCATATTACAATTTAACTGGATTCGACTAATTAAAGTTTGAAACAGTTAAAGATGCCGAGAACAAGGAAGAGGTAATTACATATTCAGGGTACATTTTGTCCCAAGTACCATGTCTAAACAACTGGAAATACCTTCAGGTTTTTGCCGAGATTTTGAAGAGCTCATCGTAGATATGACAAGACTACAAGGACCAAACGGCAAAATATGGGTCGTTGAGGTGGAAGAAAGAACTCGTGAAGGAAGTTTGTATATTACCCGCGGGTGGGCTCCGATTCAAGGTTATTATACTTTGACTCATGGAGATATCCTCCAATTTAAATACGAAAAAAAGTTCTGGTTCAGCTTGAAGATATATCACGAAAATGGAGTGAAGGCAGAATTTGATCATGTTGAAAATAGTGAAGAGATGGGAAATCATGATGGTAAGGGTAATGGGGAAGGAAAGGCAACTCAATCAAATGGATGAAGAACGAAGTTGGATAAATCAAGAGGAAGAAGATATTATGATTCAAATTGAAATATGGAACTTTGTGGTCATCATGTATTTTACGTCATATTGTTAATTGATATTTATATTAGTTTGGTTCTTTTTTTAATTTTTATTTTTTTGGAGAATATTCGTGCGAACAACGTGCTAATAGTCGTATTTTCTTTTTGCTGAAACTTGGTGAAAAACTAAAAATAACAATTACTACTACTACTACTACTACTACTACTATTGTCATATTTTTTTTGTTGCCGTAAAAACTTTCATGGTAAACATACCCGTTTCTTTCATTTAGAAGAAAAAAGGAATTAATTTTTTCTTTACTTTTATTTATTGTGTGCTAAAAGAACTCTATGCTAATATTTTCAATAGTCCTCTCTCCATAAGGTCTATTGTGATGTGCCAACCTTAACACGCCACAGGTGGAAAACAAACATTGTTTATTGTCACACACAAACACACACAAACACACACACACACATATATATATATATATATATATATCCTACACAAACATATAAATATCTTTAATTTATTTCATAATTAGGTAAATTCTGTTGGAAATGAGCTACTATATTGAATGAGGATTGATTTCTCATAGCTTAACTCATGTGAGCTATTATGCTATGGGACTTAGCTTAACTCATGTGTGTGCGCCCGACTTGTACACACAAATATCGGAAAGAACTCTCGTGGGCTTAATCAACTTACATTTGTTATGTCTCGAATTTATTTTTTCAGTCAAATAAAGAGAGACTTTTACTGCTAAAATCAATTTCAAACGAGTTTCATTTAATTTGAAGTTTATCGGATTGATTACTAATGGTTGCGAGGGTGTTAATTAATTAGTATATGAAGTAATTTTGTTGCAACAAAGCTAACCCTTTCAGCCTTGAATTTATGTGATTAATTCATTTAAATGAGCAGAATAAATTTATTTAAATGCTCGAGTGGTTACAAATATTTGAATATTTTACACATTATTATTCTACTACAATTAAAATTAATTAATATGGGAAAACTGTTGGGGTTTTTCTTTTTCTTTTCAGCTGAATTTAAAAATTCTCTTAATGATGTATATTGTGGCTCAATGTTCAGTTCTAATAACACCGAATTCTTCGTAATTTTTATCATAGTCTTTTCTTCCTCTTTCTTGGTGTTCATCAAATATTTTTTAAGTTCTAGTTCGACGATCGAGCTACATAGTTCTAAGTAGTTTTTCATGTATCTCTGCTGTATCCTAGAAAATAGGTGCTCGCGATCCTCTAGCCCGTTATGAGAGGGGCAAAAATATTCTAAGAAATCGTGTTTTCACGGGTCTCGGATTTCCTTTTTTCTTAAATATGAGAATGTCTATGTCAGGATATGTTGAGATAGTTTAATTCATAGGTCATTATGTCTGTTCATCAGAAAGATTGTGTTCACAAATTTTTTACAGGCATTGACCTAATTAATGCATCATTTCTGACTTCAGTTAATGTTTTTGAGATATTCTTTAGTTTTCAAGAAATACCAGTTTTCCAGCTGATCGTATCTCTAAAACGACGTACTACAAGGGTTCTATTCGTGGGGGACTTGAAAATTGGTTAGGAAGGTTGGCCACGTCAAAATGTCGTGCCCCCATTGTTCATTGATTTTATCCTTAGATGACAAATCATATAAGATGCCAAAAATCAAAGGTAGCTTAAGTTTCTTCAAGCCTAATGGTTTATAGACGTCATTTATTTAAGAAAATTAGTGTAAGGCAGAGGAAGGAGTTTACTGAGCAAAATAATTGGAAACCAGTTTGCCTTCAACATTTATGAACAAATGCTATGGTTAGTGATTCATATCTACATTGGAAAGATGCACTGTTACAGCATAGTTAAAGACTTTTAATTTTTTCATCGATTGACTTCATCGATCTGTTATTTAAATATCAATAAAAAAAGGAGTTCAATTGCTTCGATGAATTGATATGCGCTAGCTTAAGAAGTCTTGTGTTCTTGATTTCATTCATATTAATGACTGCAGTTCATAAATTAAATTAAGGGGGAGGGAAAAAATGCGTGCAAGTGCAGTGCACGTGAAGAAATCGGCAAGCTAATATATTCGTTCCGGTCCTTATTATAAGATATTTTTATTTGTCTTAAATTTCGTTTGAAAAAAAAAATCTTAAAAATGTATTTTCATATTTATTATATACTCCAAATTATTATAAAATAGCTTTAAAGTTTTATTTTTAATTAGAAAAACATATAAGAAACCTAAGACAAATCAAAATAACTTATAATAAGGATTGGAGGCAGTATAAATTTACATTAATTTCCAAAATTGCAAAGTACCCTTTTCTATTGTATGGTTCTATTTTACAAAAATGAAATTGTAGTTACGCTCTATTTTATTCATATCTTGAACTTTCACTAAAACAAATTTTTTTCCTTTAATATTACTTATTATTTTTCTAAATACGTATATTTAAATACATCCTACCAAACCCAAAATTAATTAATGTAAGATTGTAAAAAAAGAGGAAAAAAATATTGTTTTGGAGGAAGTAATTTTGAATTTTGCGATGGTTCATCCATTTTCTCGTATTTATGAACCGTCACCATTTGGATGCCTATACATGAAGCAGCGCGCCTATATATTATATTGCTTCGACATTTCCGACTACCATTTCTCTCGTCTGATAATATTTTTGCTTCTCTAAATTTCCGTGGTTATTGTTTTGCCTTCATCTTCATCTTGTCTCTGTTTATATGCACTCGCTTGCATTTTTCATTATTTTAACCCTTCTCTTTTCTGCACGTTTTTTTTTTTGTGTGTTTTTCGATCCCTTTATCTAGTCTAGTGAAACTATTTATTTTGCCTTCATTATCAGTTGAATAGGTATTTGAATCCTATCTAATAATGAACTGCAAATGCTTCCATTGGCACGAAAATTACACTGTATAAACTAATGATTATTACAATATGTACTTTATTAGATCCTAATAATGATTTGCAAATGCTTCATTGGCACGAAAGTTACACTGTATAAATCTAATTTCATTATAATCTCTTATTAGTTATTCCAATGAACTGGCAATCCGCTATGAATTTCTTAATTGTGCAGTCAGTTTGAGAGGATGGTTAGATGTTAATTTTTTTTTTTACAATATTATATGTAAGGCTAAATATCATTCGTATTCTATTTCTTTTCTATTTTTTTCTTGTCAATGTACTAACTATTTAAAACTTTCTAATGATTGGTTTATCTTTCTCTTTTACCCAATGAAAAAAATATTGACAAAACACGAATATGTTACGGATTAACTGCGTTCGACTGATTAAAGTTTGAACCAGTTGAAGATGCCAAGAACAAGAGGAAGAGGAAACTTCGTATTCAGGGTACATTTTGCCCCAAATACAATGTCTGAGCAACTCGAGATACCTCGAGATTTTGGTCGAGATTTCAGAGAACTCATCATAGATATGACAAAACTAAGAGGACCAAACGGCAAAATATGGGACGTTGAGGTGGAAGAAAGAACCCTCGAAGGAGGTTTGTGCATTACGCGTGGGTGGGCTCCGATTCAAAGTTATTATGCTTTGAGCCATGGAGATATCCTCCAATTTAAATATGAAAAAAAGTTCTGGTTCAGCTTGAAGATATATATCACGAAAATGGGGCAGGAAATGCAACTCGAGCAAATTGATAAAAAAACGAATGCGGATAAATCAAGAGGAAGAAGATGTTATGATTCAAATTGCATATGGAACTTTGTGCGATCATCATATATTTTACATCATAATATTGTTAATTGATGTTTATGTTAATTTGGTTTTTCTTTTTTAAATTTTCTTTTGTAGAACATTCGTGCGACCAACACTAGTTGGAATATCTTTTTGCTGAAACCTGGTGAAAAACTGAAACTAACAACAACAACAACAATAATAATTAATAATAATAATAATTATTATTATTATTATTATAATTATAATAATTATTATTATTATGTCTTCATCACCGTAATGTTCATCCTCAAGATACCTTTTACGTTTCATTTTGAACAAAAAAAAAATCAATTAATTCCTCTTTGTAATTACTTAACACGCCACATTTGAAAAAAAAAAATTTGTCTATTGTCATACAAATATATCAATATATTTCCTGCACAAACATAAAAGTATCTTCAATTTATTTCATAGCTAGGTAAGTTCTGCCTCTTTTTTTTTAGAGGTAAGTTCTGCCTTCTTCTTTTTTTCACTTGTATCTTTTTTTCTTCGGAAAAACAATTCAAATAACCCAACAATCTTTTGGTCCTCGTTAATTCTTCATTGGCACATAAACTGCACGAAAAAAAATACTCCCTCTGTCCCAAAATTATTGTCCAGTTTGAGATTTCACTTTTAGTACAAACTGAACTAAAAATGAAAACCCAAACTGGACAATAATTATGAGACGGAGAGAGTACTTCATTTTACAAAAAACATATGTGTGTGCGTGTCGGTGATTAGGCTAATTCAGTTTTAAATGATCAGCCAATCTTTTCTCATAATGTATTATTGAAATCATGACAATTTATTTGCTAGATAGAGAGAGAAGTGAACCAAGAATAATTGACACAATTTTTTTGTAATTATTCATTTAAAAATGATATTTTACTGGTATATCTCCTATGTATCACACATATCTTTTCAGTTTATTGCGATTTTTTCGAAACTTGATAAATCAACTCTGTTGATATAACTATCTTCTTCTTCGTTTTTTTTTTCCCTTCAATTAGTGCCCTTAAAGGAAGTTCGTGTTCAATTCCTAAAATGTTGTAAAACGACTAATGATGGATACTTACACAACTAACTCTTTCGATTCAATGAAAACTCTCAATCAGAGCGCATGATTATGTAACTGTTATTGTTTTCGATTCACAAGCCTCGAACTTGAAATTAACTTTAGACTCTAAAGTTTCATGTTTAGGCCTTTAAGCGCCCAAAATTTTCTCAAATCCTCGTGACAGGACACCAATTAATTGTTGGTAATACGGAAAAAAAAAAAAAAAAGAGGCAATTAATAACTAGGGGTACGTAATCTCCTTTTCGGAGATTAACTTACACTCGGAAAAGAAAAAAGAAAAGAATAAAAAACCAGTTACTTGTCGGAATTGGGGTCTTACGACTACATTATAAATACCTGATCCTCTCAAGGTCTTAATTCTTGTGCCTTCTTTTCTTGATTTGTTGATATTCAATCCCACTGATCAAAGGAAAAAAAAAAACCCTTGAAACCTAAACTCGCGAGAGAAGAAGAAAGCAAGCAGTTGTTGTTTTCTTTTTTCTTTCTCTAATAATTCAGAAAACTCACCAGCAGCAGCAGCCAATGGACACGGACGTGAAGAAGGTGGATGCCGCCGGAAAACCTTCTTCTTCAAAGAAGGGCGGAGGAAATCGGTTCGAGATCAAGAAGTGGAACGCGGTGGCGCTGTGGGCATGGGATATAGTGGTGGACAATTGCGCGATTTGCCGGAACCACATCATGCATCTGTGCATAGAATGCCAGGCGAACCAGGCCAGCGCCACCAGCGACGAGTGTACGGTGGCTTGGGGGGTCTGCAACCACGCTTTCCACTTCCACTGCATCAGCCGTTGGCTTAAAACCCGACAAGTTTGCCCCTTAGACAACAGCGAGTGGGAGTTTCAAAAGTATGGTCACTAATAAATTAAGGACCGTACGTGGTTATTTCATAGGAATTCATCGAGATAGGCTGCTTTGTAGTTGTAATAATACCTTTAATATTCTTTTTTTTTATTATGTCACTTTTTAAATCTATATGTATGCAGTTTAATTTAATGGCTCGTTTTATCTCGGAAAATAATTCAATTCACCTCGTGTGGTACAATTTTGTAATCAATGATCTTTTTCGGGATGAAAAGAGTACCTTCTTTTCTGAGTTTACTATTATTACAAATGTGTCTAAGATTACAAGTTGTGAAAAATGGTTATACACTAATGGATAATACAAAAAGACTAAAACTTTAATAAATTGCTTGCATCATACACGATTCAGAGTTACAATATTATATAGCTAGGTAGCCAGGTAGGGTTCATGATCTTCAATAGAACAAAGAAAGAAATCTAGGCATATAGACAAGTAGGCTTGATCTCATAATAACAGTTTTGGCCGTTGAACTAATACAATCCCGAAACCAAGACCATTATCATCGGACCGAGGAGAGTGACTAATAATTTCTAAATTGTACTGCACAAGGAAATTAATGTACAACCTTAACAAGAGTCCAGGTTAAATTAACATCCTTTCAGTGGTAATATCAATTGGATCTCAATACCTTTGTTTTTTTTAGCAATAATAAATTCATTAATTTGCTTAAATTCATCCAGTAGTGATCCACCCAAAAAAAAAAAAAAAAGCTAGGAAAATATAACATCTTATGCATTCTGGTATATTATGTGGATAAATTTATGTAGATCTACCCCATAAAATAATAGATGTATCTCATATAGACATTTGATTTGGTCAAGGATACAACAAAATTGTTGGTTGAAAACTTCAAATCGTAGATCTATTATAATTAGATATACTATGACTAAAATTTTTGGACCATGCAAAATTGAGTAACGCCTTCAATTAACCCGCCGCCACTCTGCTTGAAAAAGGTCACTGTCAAAACCACCCCCGTACTTGCAAAAATTACCAGGGAGAGAAAAGAGGCTGATACGAATAAAACAAACCTTTCTTGATGAATGTGGCTAGTAAATTAGTTAGCAAATTAAGTGAACCTATTTAATTCTCTGAAGTGGAAGAAACAGTTTTAAGTTTACCATTATTATTAATCATGTCGTCTAAGATCGCAGGTTGTCTAGAAAAGTTTATTACAATCGCATGGTTGTCAAGAAAATTAAGGTGTTAATAAAATTTGGATGAGAACTAAATGAACTAGCTTGGTAGGGTTCACAATCGCATACATAAGAAAAAAATTAATTAAGTTAAAATCTATGATAATTGTTAGAATTTTTTTAGTTTTAAATTTTATGCGTCTATTAATTTATGAAATTTAGTTTTTTTGAGAAAACTATAGAATTACAGGGAAAATTTACAGGAAAAACTTACAAGAAATGAGTTGTCAATCATCTAAACTATGACCTAACTTTAAATACTTCAACCCTAAATGAAAAGTGTTAAAAATGAATAGTTATGATCAATTCCTTGTCATTTTTTTTTTTATTTTTTGCCTGTACTCAATCATTATCCAAATAAAAATATCCTCATACTCCTGGAAAGGTCCCACGGGATGTGCTAAATCCAAATAGGAATAATATGTTGAAACTGTTTCTCAAAAGCTATATAAATAACACACAAGCGAAGATCCAATAATCCCACGCCTTAAAAAACCTCTCTACTACTACATATCTTGAACGATTTAATTTGGTAATTCTCTCACAATCTTAAAAGAGCCATGTCAACTACTTCATCATCAAAGAGTATGACCTTGCTGTACGGCAACACGTTCGATGTCGCGACTCATGATTAATTCATTAAAAACACTGTACAATCTTCGCCGGATTCTGATCTTGAAGAACAATAGGAAGACTTCTATGATCTTGAATTAGGTTTGCTATACCCATGGCACAGTTTATGATAGTTATGAACTTTACAATTACGTTCATTAATTGTGTAGTACGTGCATTTTACTATAATATTGCATATGTTGTATCATAAAATTATTGGGCGGAAGGAGGGTTTTCATTAATGTTCACAATTGTATACGTGTAAACGTGTTAGTGTCTCCATTCCTTTTTACAAAAAGGTTAATTAAAATTCTACACGTACAAAAAAAAAAACTGCCAAAATGTAGTTATTTTTCTCAAAATATCTAAGAATTTTCCAAAGTATCCCCAATAACATTAATGAAGAGTTTGAATTAATATTAAATTGGTAAGTTGTGACTTGTGAGGGTTAAAAAAAAAAGAAAAAGTGATTAAATGATTTTTTGGAAATCTAAATATTTTTATAGGAAATCTTAAGCCAAATAGGGAAGATTACAGAGTAATTAAGTCCGTCAACATGAGTAGTTATAAGTGAAATGGGATCAACGCCCTTGACGCCTTTCTCACGGCTTTAAACAGGGCTAACCCTACTTATAATACCATGGCCAGTCAGAATTACTCTTACCCTAGGAAAAAATTTCTCTTAATTAGTAAATTACCCCTCCTTCATCAGGAACGGAGCTCTGATAATTCTTGTAATAACATCCTCTTATCCTAACTACCTGTAGCCTATCATTACAAATACAAACAAATAAGAAATACTTACAGAAAAGAAGGGGAGCAGGGCTCTTCTTATTCCAAACTTCTTAACACTGAGAATTATTTTACAATGAGGAAGGAGAGAAGAAAGGGGAAAGGGAAACTAGTAAGGAAATCGGTGCCTTTCCTACTAAAGTATCAATCTCTATTTATAGGCCCCGGATTTCTAAAATTATAAATTCTATTTTACAAATGGATTTGAAATCCATTCACTTATTGTGAATGTCTTTTCAGATATGACTCGAGCGGGATCCATGTGCCTCAATTAATTTATTTAATTTTATTATTTTAAAATCCCAATTTAAACACTAATCAATAAATCCTAACTTAATTAAAATGCTTAAACCCACCTAAATTTGAAATACTAAACACATTATTTTTTTTTATTCGATTTAATTTTTTTAATTCAATTAGACAACGAGACCCTAGTCGAATTGAATTAAAAAATTTTATAAATTATTCATATTATATAACACATTAAATCCTAACCTATCAATTGTATGTGTAAAAATGGTTGAAATTACATTTAATTTTTTTTATAAGGTTAAAAAATTAAAATACAAAAATAAAATTAAAAAAAAAAAGGAAAAAGAGCAATGAGCAGGAGTACCTAGGTACACCTTGCCTTGCAGTGCGTGAACCACACATGAGGAAGAGAAATTGGAATAATTGAGTCCGAAAAAAAGGAGTCCACACGTGCATTTATTATGCAACTCATCAGTTCAATTATGTGATCAAATGTTATCCCTTTTTTTCCTCCAAATTTTAATTACGTGAATTAATTCCTCCAAATTTTATCCCTTTTTTTAGCACATGTTTAATTTCAAATCTTATCTTTTTTAATACTTATCATGTTAGCTTTTATATTATTTTATTTTATGATATTATTTTTTTAAAACTAGGTTTCTTCTTGTCGCGCGTTGTGTAAGGTAATGCGTAATGTATGGTTATTGATGAACAGGGTGTTCATATTATTTTTTGACCGATGGTGTATTATATTATTACGATTTTACGATGAATATCTTATGTTAACTAATGAATAACGAGTTGTTATTGATGAATAACAGAAGTTTTGCTAATTGGACGATGTTTCAACTATGAGGAAGAGGCTTTTGTTGCTTATAATTCTTACACAAAGCGCATTGGTTTTTTCAATAAACAAGTTCAAAAATTGGAAAATGTCCAAATCTGGTGTTGTATATTGGAAACAATTTGCATGTAGCAAACAAGGAGTAAAACATTCAAGAGGTAGGTGCGATACAACAATGAATAATTATACCAAACTGATGAATACGTCAATTTCAACAATGAATAATTATATCAGACTGATGAATAACACTCTACATCAATATCTACACTTATTGTGGTTTGATTTTTTGCAGATTCAGATATTCTGCTTCTTTTGGCTTCTGAATGTTGTTCTTCGCTCATGCTTCTTTCAGATTGTGTCTGATATTCATCGCTCATGCTAATATATTTACAAATTCCATGAATAACTTGTCAGATGTGATGAATCCGGTAATTTCAACAATGAATAATTATACCAAACTGATGAATAATACAAATTTCTAGTAATTTACCAAAAAAAAAACAATACTACATAGTGATAGTAAACGATGAATCTGGCAATTTCAACAATGAATAATTATACCAAACTGATGAATAATGCAAAGATATAATAATTTACCAAAAAAAACAATACTATATAATTATGGTAAACGATGAATCTGACAATTTCAACAATGAATAATTATACTAAAACTGATGAATAATACAAAGATCTACTACTTTACCAAAAAAAGAAAAACAATACTATATAGTTATGGTAAACAATGAATCTTACAATTTTAACAATGAATAATTATACCAATATGATGAATAATACACAAATCTACCAATTTATCAGAAAAACAACATCCAATAGAAGAACAAAACTCTAAAATTGACGAATCTTATAATTTCAATAGTTATGAAAACGATGAATCTGATAATTTCAACAATGACTAATTATACCAAACTGATGAATAATTCTCAGATCTTCTAATTTACCAAAAAAAAAAAGCAAATCGAAGAACATATCTCTAAAATTGATGAACAAACATAGTTAATTGAGTGAACATACCAAACAAAAAAACACACCAATGATTGAAGAGAGTAGTTGTATTACCTCGCTTCCCCTTCATCCTCCGATTTGCTCATACTCGTTTCGGAATCCTCAGCCATAGGCATCTACATGAATATTTTAAGAAAAACAACATTCATCAAACCAGAATCAAACAACAATAGATAAACACAGATAAATCGATGAATTTGACCAGAATACACCTTAATCCATCGTAGCTTGTAATCAGAATTACCGTTTTTTATGAACGATTCGTTTCAGACTTCGGAAGTCCCGCCGATGGTAGCTTCTCTGCATGTATCGCCGCAAGATTGATTTTTTGGGGTTTCGTTTTTTTTTTTTTTTTTTTTGATTTGAGGAGTAATGGAATAGATCGAATGGAATGTTCGATCATCAATAATGGCTGAAAATTAGGAGATAATAATGGTTATCAAGATTTGAAAATCAAAAAATCGCACATAATGGGGTATTAATGGGCGCGTGTAAACACTCGGATGGCATTGTTGTAAATATTAGGAGTTCCTTTTTTTGGTCGCGTGAGTTTCACCCTAACTACATCTTGCTAGGTGTACCTAGGATTCCTATATTATAATTGCGCTCTTGCCAAGCTTAGAGCGCACCGGGTGCTCAATATAATTTGCGGTGGTCAATCACATAAGTAGTCGTGTTATATTGGTGAGAATGTTAGAAATAAAAAAACATGTTATATATCCAGGTTCCATTTTCATCATGGGCAGATATTGAGTTTTCACGAAGATGGATATTTAATATGTTATTTTTTTGGTCAAAAAACAGGTTCTATACATTTTATTGCGCGGAAAAACATAAAAAATAAAATATTACTGATTTATTTACCCCTTAATATGTGGTTCGGATATTTCATAGCCTGCAATGCATGCTTTTTTCTTGGCTAGCAAGGCACGAAATTATGCGGCTATATAGAAACTTGATTCTTTTGTATTCAAGATTGGCCGAGTATAACATCCATGCATGTAATCAGCAATTAATTCTCCAAGATTTTGTGCAAATCTTAAAGCGATTAATAAAATAATAATAATAATAATATTATACTAATATTTCTTGATCAAAAAGATACCGGAAAATATTAAAAGGAAAAGAAATTATTAGTATGGGTCCGAAGTTATAAAGTAACCCTAAGCGCCTGGTTTATTCTCGTCCTAAGGGGGAACGTAATTTTTTTCGTAGCATTAATTTCGTATAAGACTCTTTTTTCAAGGTTAGAACCTCTTGTTAATGATCCAATGTGGCTTTTCTTTCTAATTTTAAGGTCTCTATTTAGTTAATCGAGTGAATTAATGTTAAGTCATCTTTATGCATGCCCACCTCAGCATTTTTTTTATTTAATTATTCATTCATGGAGACGGTTATATGAATTATAATCATTATTTAGTTTATTGTCTAGGGTTAATTGCTTGTTGTACAAGAAAATTGATACAGCTGGTATTTTGTGAGATAAGCTCAATTAATCAATTTATCAATTACTCTTCTTTTTTTTTTTTCCCCTTTTGTCTGGGTCGGTTGGTGGCTAGTTTAGAGGATTATTGTGAAGATCTATGGCGGTGATGATTCAGCCGATGGCAAGCACGGCGGGGGAATTAGCGACTCGGCCGATGGCGACGCTGACTACATTGTTGTATAGTAGCAATGCGCTTCCCCGGAATCTCAACTTGGAACGATTTGTTTCTGGTCATTTGATTCATCACCAAAATTTCATTTTTCGATTTGTGCTACATTTCTTGTCTTGTTTCTGGTAAATGTTTTTAGTACTACATACTTTGGTTGGTTTACTTTGATTTCTCCGGTCCATCAAAATGATGTTGCCAAATTGAATCAAGTTGTAGCCTTCTTTTTTCCTCTTGCCACCAACACCGAGAAAAATATTACTCTTCTCGTCCCAAAATAGTTATCTACTTAATTTGGATGGGTTACGTTTCATCTTTTCCCAAAAACAGTGGAGCTTAGTGGCACCCTCAGTGTGCAAAGTAGTGAAGGAAGTCATGGACCGTGTTGCGACACCAAAGGATTTTTTTTAAACCAAATATTGATTCTTCTTATCGATTCTCACAACCCAAGTTGCCACCGCTCGCGAACCATGAACGAATTGATTGGGATTGTTTAAAATTAGTAATTAGGGCATATAAACAGTTTAAAAGGAGTGGGAATGGTCCAGAAATTAGCATAGTCATTATGAACGCTAAGGAAGTTAAAAGGATTTACCATTCCAAATGATTGTTTGGTTAGAATTGTCATTTTTAATATAATATAAAATGAAAATAAAATAGTACTATTGTATTGGGATAGCAAATGAAACTTGTTGAAGTCCATGAATTTCTATTTCTTAACGAAACCTAATCTACCGTTTCAAAAAACCGAAACCTAATCTAGTCTACTAATAATTCAGGATCCTCTTAGGCATCGGTCGGATCAACTCAAAAAAAAAAAAAAAAACAGCGGAAATCATTTTTCAGCCATCTTTTTGAAACAGAATAGGGTTCTATTTATAATCTGATGAAAATCATTGAACTAATACAAACCCTTCGAAAAGATTCAAAGCTTGGAATAACTCTTATAATATTCTTGTCGACATATACTAGTTCGACAAGGATTGCTTTTACATAAAATTTTCAACAACAAACTTGCCAAATTTTAATTCCTAGACAAAACACAAAAAAAAAATAAAAGATATTAATTGGTACAGGAAAATAGTACTACAAATTAATTGAATGAAACAGAATGAGTGCAACAAAGCAAACTATTTTTCAAGAACGGAACAAGTGGGGGGAAAAAAAAAAAAAGAAGTTAAAATGCATAATTGATCATCTCACTGAACTTGGCTATATCTAAGACAATTTCTGAATTCTTACAAGGAAACTGAATTAGTGATGTCAAAGTACGCATACACCGACAAGGATACGAAATATATAAAGATCAAAACCATAATGATGAAAAGAAGTGAAAATTCTACTAAAATACTTGAAACAAAACCTCCACCAAACTGACCTGTAAATCTACATCTAAAGCCAACTTCATGGTTCGAGACTTCTGAGTTCAGGTCCAACTCATTCTACAGTTTCTTTTTGCTGCACTCCCTTTGAGAATGTTTCGATTTCTCCCTTGAGTTTAAATATCTTTGAAACTACCCTGTAATCATCGTTCCAGCTCCTTGATCAGTAAGAATCTCAAGGAGCAGCGAGTGTTGAAGTCGTCCATCGATTATACTTGCAGTTCTAACACCTTGAGCCAGGGATCTCACACAGCAATTTACTTTTGGGATCATACCACCAGCAATCTTCCCATCATCCATCATCCGCTTCACACCTTTGATATCTATTTCCTTCACCAAACTACTAGGGTCATCCCGATCCTCCAAAATCCCAGCTACATCAGTTAAAAGTATCAACTTCTCTGCTGACAAGGCTGCGGCCAATTCACCTGCTGCTGTGTCAGCATTGATGTTGTATGGTTGACCAGTTTTATCTGCAGCAACAGAGGCAATCACTGGTATATGGTTATTGTCAATGAGTGGTCTTAGTATTGAGGGGTCCACACTAGCAATATCACCAACGAAACCGAGTTGATCAGAATTTGGAGAAGGCCTCGCAGTGAGAAGATGGCCATCAATCCCACATAGCCCAACTGCAGTAGCCCCAGCCTTGTTGATCAACGCAACAAGATGCTTGTTTACTTTCCCTACTAAGACCATTGAGACCACTTCCATGGTTGCGGCATCAGTCACTCGAAGTCCATTGACAAAGTTTGGTTTGAGCCCCAATCGACCAAGCAACTGATTGATTTCGGGACCCCCACCATGAACAAAAATGATACGAAGACCAACACACGAAAGTAGGACCAAATCAGAAATAACAGAAGCCTGAAGGGCCTCAGACTTCATAGCTGCGCCTCCGTATTTAACAACAATTGTCTTGCCACGAAACTTTTGTATGAAGGGTAGAGCTTCAGAAAGAATATTGACCCTGTTTTGTGCCAAGACAGGATGAGATTCTGGGGTCACTATTGATTCTAGGGAACTCTTGAGGCATGAGCTTGAAACATTATGCCAACGATCGTTTTTCCCTCTAATCCTCCATTCTTTTACAGTTACAAAACTTACTGGGATGGGGTTGGCATTAGGAAGTACGGAGACTTTTGGTATGAGGGAGGACTGAGGAAAAACTTTACCAGACAACATCTTGTTTATACCACTTAAAATATCAAAACCACGACAATGAAACAGTCCTGCTGGTGACGAGAGAAAGATCTGTTTGAAAACAATAGAAGAAAGGAAAAAAAAACTAAGTCTCAGAAGGCATATTTAAATAGATAAGTCTGTCAATCTGCTGCACAACTGAATTTCTCCAGAGTGCCTAGATTCAATAAATCTATAAAGGTGGCATTACAATTTCTTCCATAAAATGTAGGGATGCACCAAAAAGTGATTGAGAACTGCCGGACGAAGACTAGAATGCACATGACTAAATCATTTCCAAAGCCTAAATCACAACTGCAAATGACTCATACCCTGCAAAGGAGTATTTCAAAGGCTTATTTTGTCAACCATATCGTTCAGAAATCAATTGCTTATACTAAATGATCGAGAACACTCCAAACGCGGACGTATTTACTTAAAGAAAATTTATGATTTGTATAGACAAAGTTTGGAAGAAACTAAAAGTGAGCTCCAAAGTGAAATGGTATCCTGTTTGATAATAATCAGATTATAGAAAATTGGTGTTCTCCACTCTATGTAATACTTATACAGTTTATCATAGGGAACTAGGATATATAAATGATCTATCACTAGACAAAAGGAGGATTGAGGTACCACATTAACCTATGAAGTTCGAATGCAAACCTCAAAAGATAAAGATTACCTGCCAAGATGGGGGGCTTCCTCTACGTTCGCCAGAAATTCAAAACAAGTAATATGCAGCTGCAATGTAAGCCTTTGCAATCCCAATGTGGCAGCTCTCTGTAGTACTCTGTATGTTCGGATCGTTCGAGAAAAAGAAAAACGAACCAAACCAATTTGTGACAAGACTGAAAACGTCAATAACCTGCAGGATAGGATTGGAACAGTAAGCCGAAGTGTTTTAATCCTGAAGCGGAATAAAAAAAGGCAGAGCTAAGGGCTATAAAGTTAAAAAGTGAAATGAACCGAACAAGAAAATCACCGAATGATGCCATATAAACTTCAGAATTCATCAGGATATTGATATTTTTTTGTTTAAAAAAAAAAACAAAAAAATCCTCTTATAGAGCTCTAAATAAGATTTGCACATAATATGCTAGAAATGCAATGTAGGATCAACTGATGAACTGCCATCCAAGCCAGAGGAGGCTCTTCATATTAAACTAAACTGGAACCAGAATACAGAAGTTCTTCAAACATAATATTGCTTCTAGTCTTAAGATTTAAATCAGATAACACAATAAATTGATAACAAGAATCCAGATGATCACTGATATGAAATCCATGCTGGTGATTAAAAGAATCCAGTCAATCCACCATTGATTACAGCTGAGCTAGAGCACTAATTACATAAACGAATTCACAGGACTGTTAAGAATTCTACTTTTCAGAAGGTTTCATTCCTATTGAAGAATAGGGGAGTGCATTCAATAAATGAGAGCTGCAATTAACCCAATGCAGCTCCATTTCTAGTTCAGTAAAAATCCTGTGTGGAAGCATGATAAAGGAACTCTACTGAAACTTATAAGGGGGAAAAAAAACAGCATCACCCACCTTAGATAGAGAGGAGCTCGGTGAACGGTGGTGGCGGCGGCGGCGGCACAGAAGAAAGCCACGGGGTGGTGGCTGATGACGGAGGACGGAGGCGCGGAGGCGGCAATGAGTTTTCAGAATTTCATAGTTTAAGAGTCAGACAAAAGAGATGATAGGTTTGCACTTTTCAGTAGAGGAAATAACATTTTAATCCCTTAAGTTTAACAATATTGTATTACTGACGCTAAATGTTTGGAAATATTAGCTATATATGTGGTCGCATTGAACGTCCAAAAGGCCAAATCTTTTTTTTTTTTTTTCCCAAAAATGGCTCCAAATAAAAAATCAAAACCCAAAAGCAAATCGACCGACCCGATTCCGTCGCCGTCAGCCGCTCAAATCAAATTCCCCGCCTGTATTCGATCAGTTCCGCCGTCCTCCGTCGCCATCACCATCCACGCAAAGCCTGGTTCTAAAGTTGCTACGATCACAGGTCAGTGGATTCAGTACTATTATTACACTTTTTTTAATTTCTTTTTCATAAAGATTACTTTGGACAGTTCTGAAACTTTTATCAATTTGGGATGAGAATTTGGAAAGCCAGATATTAGTGATGAAGCTTTAGGAGTCCAAATCGACGCTCCTGCGAAGGACGGCGAAGCTAATGCTGCACTTCTTGAATATATTAGTGATGTAAGTTCTTTAGTATTATTGTATTTTGTTGTCTTGCTCTCTCTCTCTCTCTCTCTAATCTTCTATATTAGTAGCTGGGATTCTGATGATTGGTATGAGCCTTTATGATGTGGTTAATTTTATTTTTTGATTATGCAGAATAAATTCATCTGCTTTTACAAACTTTTAAAAGTTTTTTTTTTCATGAGGGGTTGATCAGCTAGATTTTTTTTGAGTTAACCATGTGGAGATTGCTGAACTAAGAGATGTAATGGTATTCTAGTTTATTGAAGGAGTTTATGGGCAGGTGGTGGTTTTTCTCCCCATAGTTAGGGGTCTTCCATTTCTCACTTTATAAACTTCTACACTGCCGATGAGCTGGTTTTGCATTTTCAATACCACAGTTTACATCTCAAAAGTAGCTCTTTGATATTTCTGATGTAAAACCAATGTGTGAATCCAATTGGTCGATACATGTTGGAAGTGTTTTTAGTTCCACGCAAAAAAATAAAATAAAGAAAAATAATTTTCTGTACCCTGTCTGTGCTGAAGCTTTCTTTGTCCTCTCTTGTGGCAAAACGTTTCCATGAGTTTATGCTTAATTAAAGAGAAAAATATAGTTGTGAGCTGAAGAGTTGATGTGACTGTTATTATTTTCTTAACTATTATGCATCGAATGATGAGGCCACGATTTTGTTTTCGTGGTTTTGTTGTAGTAAGAAGAGAAGCCTGTTACAATTGCAGCCATGGGGTGCTAGACCCTTTATTATCTGATGGAAAATAGTATATGTGCTGGAGGAAATTGTTTTCTTTTGGGTTCCATTGGAAGCTCCCAGTTTTGAATATTTCTTTTGTCTTTAACTTTTAGGGAGCATAGTTTAGTCGTTAGTGCATTGGTGGATGGAAATCTCATCTTTGTGTCTTTTAAAATCCACAACCTGCTAGTCAAGTTTGATGTAGTAATATCCAGTATTTCCAACAGTAAATTTCTATCTCAAGGGGTGCTTTCCTACATTATTCCTTAGATAATCTATTTCTGCCAAGACTTAGTCATTGAATTGGTGATGGGAACCAAAAAAGCTTTGGAGGGATATTTCAGATCAAACAATTCGCTGCACAAGAGTCAACTGGGATGAGTCAAACTATTATTATGTTCATTAAGTGCATTTCTGAATTTTAAGAAAGACAAAAGTGAAGAAGGAATTGTATACCAATGTGAAGAGTGTTTCCATGATGTCTTGAAAACAAGTTCGGAGTTAGGACTTGAGGTAATAGGAAGATAATGGTTTTGGGGATCTAAAGGCCAAAAGTTTCTCTGCATATTCTTTTCTCTTTGTTATGAATATGAATAAAAAGCTGATATATTTTTTAGTCCAACTTTGAAGGCAAAATTCATCCATGTTTATGTTGTTTGTTCGATCTTTTGAGGATCACATGCAGCCTACATGTGACAAAAGTAACTTAGACATGGTTTTTGAAGGCTGTCACCGACCTCCTTCATATTGTACTGCTACAACCATGATTTGTCATACAATAGCAAGTTTTCCAGCGTGATTGCTCTTCTTGCTGTGCCATTTCTAAAATTTTCACTACCCTTCGTATAATGCACTGCATTTAGTAAGAGAATAAAGTAATTACTGAAATAGGTGATCTTTTTTCTAAAAGGAATATGGTTATCTAAGCGCGTTTATCTCTGAAGCCTTAATCTAGAGACACATTTTGGATTTGATAATTATTTCAGGAGTTCACACTGTATCACCATAACCGCTCTCTGTATTATCAAATTAAATTGAAGTGATGTTCTGTCTCCTTCAAGAGTCCAAATTTTCAGCTGTGACATGGTAGTCTTTATTCTTTTTGAAAAGCCACAAAAGTGTTACTTACTCGGGTATATATTGTTCTCAAGAGAATAAAATGTAGAAAAATACATTTATCTTAATGGACAAGGTGTTATTGATTTGTACTTGGAGTGAGCGATCATACTGCTCCAGTTGTGCCAAAGAAGACTTTTTTTTCTCCATTAGTGCCGTTTCATTGTTCCTGTTAATATTTCTTTTTCGGGAAGGACTCAATTTTGGGTTGGAAAGTTTAATAACTTTTGTCAACAGGTGATTGGTGTTAAAAGGAGACAAGTTTCAATAGGCTCAGGCATGAAATCAAGGGACAAAGTAGTGATGGTAGAAGAGACTACATTGCAGAGTGTGTTTGATGCCCTTGATAAAGTATTGAAGTCGAAATGATTTAGTGTGGGGCATTGACATAAATGTAAATCATCAAATAAAGTTGCTTTCAAAGATCAAATCTTCTGCAAACCATAAAACAACGTAGCTAGGACTCAGGAGGCATGGGACGACGTTGCTACAGAATATTTGAGAGTAGATGTTGAGAATGTTCTGACTTCATGTTGCTAGGCGTTAGTTAAACTTAGATATTTTTGGTTCAGATCACTGTGGTGCGCACATAACTGAAAGAGAGTAATTTGTTTCTCACATAATGACTAAACTGAATAATAGCCTTCTTACTCCTTACAAATCACCTTCACAAGGTAGGAGGTATACTTGTGATGTGAATCGGAAATCCTATGAAGTTTGTTTTTGCAAACCATTTGAATGAAAAGAACTGTTTTTGCTTCAAAGATTGTGGGTCCTCCAGTGAAGAATGAAAGTTAGTTGAAATGTTTTGAATACGATGAACAATAGAGAAATAGAGAACCAATTAAAGTAATGGCATTTGGATTATTTAATCCATGCTTTTACGAAAATTGGCAACAATGTAGCTTCTCTGATTGTTGGTAAATTGGTAATTGTGGTGTTTTTGAACGGGGATGAATCAGATAATGGATGGTAGAATTGCAAGGAAAAGAAAAATGAGAAGTTCAGAATTTGAGTATATGATTGACAAGAAAAGAAGTAATCTGAGAAGTAATCTGAATGAGAAAGTTAAGAAATGTACAGTTTTATATTCTCAATAGAAAAATTATTTAAAAATACACACTAAAAAACCGAAATAAACATATAGTTAGCTTACCTGCTTTTTTCTTTTTGTGGGTGGATTTTTCCAGCCACCCAAATTAGTACTTGAAGCCATCAATTTTGAAGAATTTCCCTTTTACCCTTGCCATTCGGACCGAACCGGGCAAATCATTCGGTCTGATTTACGTGAGAACAGACAAATTATTAATTTTTATTTTAATGTTAATTTATTTGCAGTATCGTTACATGTTGAATACCTCATACTTTAAATATTATTAACAATATTTATATTTTAGTGTTTAAACTCTCGATTTTATATTTATTTGAAAATAAACAAGTAATTAATTTTTATTTGAAAACAAATTAAGACTGTTTGTTAAGTTAATTTATTTAAATTGATATTAAAATATAAATTTTGCTTTAATCATTATTTTAAAGATAATTTTTAGTTAAAATAGTAATTATACATTTATAATGAAAAATAATAATTGTACTACAAAGATTGTGACAAATTGTGCAAATGGATTAACTATTTTTTGTACTACAAAGATTGGTGATACTTAATGTAACTCAAATAATAAATTATTAATAAATTTAATTAAAAAAATCTAAAAATTAAAAAAATAGCAATGAATCTAATTAATTTTTTTAATTTTTAGACCTTTTAAATAACAAATATTGTTATTTTTTATTTTTAAAAAAACAAAAATTAAAAATTTTTTAAAAAGGGCCTGACCTGTCCGGTTCATCATATCAGACCAAATCGGGATCGGCCGAGCAATGAACCCATCTCGGGTTACGGGCATGGAACTCGTCCACTAGGTTCGGGCGAACAAGTGGACGAGTTATTTGCTCGTCCCGATTTAACCCGGGACGGGTGGACCGCCCGGTCGGTCAATTTATTTTTTTTAATTTTCAATTTTTTTTATTTTCTCTCTAGTCAAATTATTTGATTTGAAAAATAATATGGATAAAATAGTCCAATTTTAAAATATGTGGCTTCAAGTAATAAAGGTAATGGGTTTGAAAATAAACACCCTTTTTTTTCATTAATTATTTATGTTTGAATCTTCCCCCTACTTACGAGTTTGACACCAAACACCTGTTGGTGATGGTTTACCTCCTACCCAATTAAAGTTCGTATAACTTGTTGCAAGAAAGATCTATCCGGCTCAAAATCCAAATGAGTCGGAGCAATAATTTCGAACAGTGAGTGTGTAATATTTTAAAAAATAAAAATAAATGAAAAAGAAAGCAACCGGAACATTGTTACAAAAAGATCTCTTTGCTACACACTAAAGTTGAAGGCTCTGTTCCAAAGACCATATCTCTGTATTCCATACAGTCAACTACTCTCTCGAGACACAGAATACAGATCTAGATAGAGAATTTGAAATGGCAGAAATTGTGGTTTCTCTGGCACTGGAAACCATTCGTGATTTGTTACTCGAAGAAGTAAGGTTTCTATCAGGTGTTTCAACCCAAGTGAAAGAGGTCCAACTCGAGCTCCAGAGGATGAAATGCTTCTTAGAAGATGTGGACCGGAGAAAACATGATGAAGCTATTGTCCGGAATTACGTGAAAGAAATCAGACATCTTGCTTACAGAATTGAGGATGTTGTTGAGTCATATGCCATTCAAGTTCCACTGGAAAGAAGAAGAAATTTCAAAGACAGGCTGAAGCGTTTTTCTTGCATTTTCAGAGAAGCCGGTGTTGCCCACAAGTTTGGGTTACAGATTGAAGATATAAAACAAGAGATCAGCCATCTTACTGCCATTTTGGACACTTATGGAATCAAAGCTGCTTTGGCAAGGGAGAGATCTGAAGTGAGAGCTGAAAGTAAAAAATGGTTAAGGCAAACTTTTGCGCACGACATGGAGGAAGATTTTGTCGGGATGAAGGGCGATTTAAGTCAGCTTGTAGCATTACTGCTTGATGAAAGGAGGCAACATCGAATCATCTCGATTTGGGGTATGGGAGGTATAGGAAAGACAACTCTTGCTCGGAAAATCTATCATCAGGGCGACATTAGGCGCGGCTTTCAAGCATTTGCTTGGGTTTGTATAACACAAGAATGCAATCCAAAGGATGTATTGCAAGATATCTTAAGGCAACTTCATTCTACAACGGAGAAGAAGGCAGAGTTTTTGAGTATGGGGGGCAGAGAATTGGTGGAAGTGCTTTATCAGGTTCAGAAAGAAAAGAAATGCTTGGTTGTTGTTGATGACATTTGGAAAGAAGATGATTGGGAAAGCATCAGACCTGCCTTCCCCACTGCAGAATCAAACAGTAGAGTTTTGATCACGACCCGGAAAGAAAACATTGCCAAGGTAGGATTCCCTTTTTCCCTTAAATTTCTGAGCAAAGATGAAGGTTGGGAACTGCTGCAAAAGAAGGCATTTAGTAAGAGACAGCTAAGAGGTCAGTTAATCGTTTCCCTTGTTGCTTGTTTGTTTGGGCCTAAACATTATTTGCAGTGATGATTTCAGTTCACGTCGATTTGTTTATTTGTACTCATGTGTTTAAAACTTTTATCAGCTTCCATGAGAAATATATTTATGAAGTTCTAAATTGAACCAGATAAAATATATCTCATTTCTGCAATCATCAATGTCATATCTTGCTAACTGTAATTCTATTTTCGACAATCTTCAGAAGATTAAAATCAAAACCCAAATTTATAGTGTGGGATTTTCGCTTTGCTGATAATTAATCATATACTGCAGAAAGAAGAATTGAAACTGATCTAATGGAACATGTAGGCAGAGAAATTGTGCAGAAATGTGGATACTTACCATTGGCAATCTCTGTCATTGGGGGTGTTTTGAGTGAAAGGGATTCTTTAGATGCTTGGGAGATCGTGAACAAAGATATGGATTTGTATTTGAAGAGAGGTAAGAACAATGAAGGGGATGGTCCAATACAACAAGTTTTGTCATTGAGTTACGATGACTTGCCATACCATTTGAAGTCATGCTTTCTGTACTTAGGTCAATACCCGGAAGATATGGAAATAGATGTTGAGGAAGTGTGTTTACTGTGGATGGCAGAAGGCATAGTATCATTTAAGGATCAAGGGAGACATGAGAGTTTGATGGATGTTGCGCAACGTTATTTTGGTGAATTGGTTAGTAGGTCTATGGTGCAAGTACGAGTTGATTTGATAACGATGCAGTTTAAGTCTTGCTACATTCATGACCTCATGAGAGAACTGTGCTTGGAGAAGATTGCAGAAGAGGAGTTCTTCCACATAATGGATTTTCGAGGAGGAAAACACCTAAAGTTGACACCTCCTATGTATCCTGTTAGTGTCCATAGATTAGGAATTTACGAATATGATTCATCTAGTGGCGAAGGAATTATCCAAGAGTCAACTGAAAAACTAAGATGTCTTTTCTTTCACACTTGGCACATTGACACCACTCTGTCCAAGGAAATTAACGATTTGGGAAGATTGAACCTTCTTAGGGCTGTGAAATTTGAGAAAACAAATCTTTGTGGAACTCTTGTACATGAGGCATTTGCCAAGTTGGTGCTGTTGAGGTTCTTAGGTTTGAAAAGTTGCATTATGGAAGAGTTGCCATCATGTGTATGCAAACTTTCATTCCTTCAGACTCTTGACCTTAGAGGTAGTTATTCTGAACCTTATACTCTTGAAATACCCAATGTCCCATGGAAACTCAGGAGATTGAAACATTTATACCTTCCTGGAAAGTACCATATCAAGGGAGGAGGAATGTTACAGCTACAAGACTTGGACGAACTGGAGATACTGTCTGGTTTTCAAAGTGGAGAATCTGAAATGTCAAGTCTAAATGAGTTGAACAATCTGCAGTGCCTCATCAATTCAACCCTTTCCGGGAATGAGAGCCTCTCACAGATCATCGACAATCTAGAGGCGAAAAGTTTGCAGATGATTAGTATGAGTGTCGTGGATTGCTGTTTCAATTCAGGGCAGGGATTTACTCTCCTGAGAAAGCTGATGATGACTCGAAATATTTGTGAATTAGATGTAACAGGAGTTACAATTTCTGAATTCCCCGAGTATGAATTCAACTTCTGCTTGAATCTCAAGATACTAAGAATGGTGTACTGCACAATCGAGAAAGATCCGATGAAAACTCTGGAGAAACTTCCACAATTGAGGTGTCTTCATTTGTGTCAAAGGTCATTTCTGGGGAAAGAAATGGTATGCAGTGAAGGTGGCTTTCCACAACTTAAGGAACTTTGCCTTTTTGATCTCCCCAGTTGGGAGACGTGGACGTTGCAGCAAGGAACCTTGCCTTGTCTTTCCACTTTGAGTATTTCGCGCTGTCCGAAACTGGAGACAGTTCCATATGGATTAAGATTCATCACTAGTCTCCAAACACTCAAATTTCATCGTATGCCTGAAGACTTCCTCCAAGGAGTTCGAAAAGGAGGGGTGGATTTTGACAAAATCAGCAATGTAAATTCTGTCTACATTTTCGACGATTGAAACATCAAACACAGGCATAAAGGTGGATAGTTGAAGTTTTATAATATGCTTGTGTGGGTTAATGCTTGGAGCAGTTGCACTAGAATAGAAAAAGTGAGTCTGTTGGCATGGCTAATTGTATCATATTTTTGTCTGATAACTCTAAGACTTGTAGTTACAAAAGGTAGACTTTGCAGAATGCAAATTTTAATTGGAAGTTCATCATCATGAAATGAGAATATATATATATATATATGGTTTTCTTTTTTCGGCAAATGGTCTGGAGGTAGGTTTCCACATGGCAGGATGATGGCTTTGTGTGTTTCGAAATTCCCCTGGCTTCTCTTATCAATTACCCCCCGGGCAAATTTTCAATTAGGCCGACCACCAACTTAATTCCTCAAAATTAATTAAAATTTACCCGCGAGATAGAATTGGATTGGATATAATCCATGGCAGCTGAAGAGATCTAACATATTAGTAGTCGAGGACCTCTTCTGCTCAACTTGGGTGGAAGAAATGCTACAAAGTTGCACTTATGAGGTATATATTCATTGATCCCCGGAAAAAAAAAAAAAATTCATACATATATTCTGCACATTGACAAACCTAAATCGGGGGGACAAAAAAAACCCATTTTTTATTCATGGCAATTAGATCCGCGCAAATTTATCCCTTTATTTTTTATTCTTTTTTTTGGCTATGATTTTTTTTTTCCTTTGTTGGGAGTCAAGAAGCCATATATACATGTACCTACCCAAATTAATCAAATGAGCAAACTTTTTTTTTCTGGGACGAAGAACTACATTTTTTTCGTTTTCCACTGTTGATAGGCGGTCATTGGAAGCCTTAAGGCATCATTTGTAGGAGGAAGGTGAGGTTGTGATAACAATTTTTCATATAGAGTTGAAACTCTTGGACGAGCAAAATTGTTCATCGCATCGAAGACGCACTCAATCTGCCCACTTCTGGTAAGTTTGGCCATAATTCTTTAACAAATTTGTTTTGGTTTATTTTCTACATAGATTTTGTTCCATGTATCAGGGACTAAACTCTCATAAGTCTCCCACAATAACCAAATAGAAAAGTTAAAGGTTTAAAAAAAGAAAAGGAGAAAGAAAAAAGATTTGAAGAGAGTTTAAGAAAACTTGTGAATTAGAATTCAACATAACGAAGCTCGGATTTGTACGGTGATTAGGACAGGCGGCGATGATGACCTAGGAGGCGGCGAACGGCCTAAAACCTGCAAGACAGAGCCTCGGGTATCTCCCCAGGGCAGACTCTCCGATACTTAAGTCAATAAGGGAATAGAGATAATAGAGAGAGAGGGATATGTATCGTGTGTAAAAAGTGTAGAAGATAGGTAGAAGATATGAATTATGAGAGAGGCACCACCTCTTTATATAGAGGTGGTGTTACATGTTTCTTAAAACCCTAGCGGAATAGGTTTAGGCGGTCGCTTAATTCTCAAGTAACCTAATCCTAGGCCCAATAGGCCTAGGGTTAATTTATGACTCGTCAAGTGCCCCTAGCAAGCCATATTCTCGAGACTTGATGAGAAGAATATGGGTTGCTATGAGTACGAGGCTGGAGTGTTGACGGCTTCTCGACCTCCGTAGTGTTGCCCTAGTTCTCGAACATGATGTTCCTGCAAGATGAACAAAAGGGTAATGGTCGACAGAAGAAGGTCCTCGAGGGGACAAGGGTTGACGATGACGGGGTCCTTGGAAAGACAAAGGTCGACAAGGGGTGGTCCTCGGAAGGACAATGGTCGACAATGGAAGGTCTTTCCAAATGATGATCTTCAAGAGGACAAAGGTCTATGAAAAGACGGTCTCTGTGAGAGACAATGGTCTGCGAGAGGACGGTCCTCGAATGGATGACGATCTTCAGGAGGACAAAGGTCTATAAAAAGATGGTTTCGATGAGAGACAATGGTCTGTGAGAGGATGGTCCTCGAATGGATGGTAGTCGCTAAAGAAGGGTTCTCGAGAAGACAATAATCGACAGAAGTAGGTCCTTGGAAGGACAATGGTCGATAGGTGGTGGTCTTCTCGAAGAACATGGTGAATAGCTCGAGATTGTGGATCCTGTCATTTAACTTAACAAGGGTATTGCAATAATAACAATAATGATGACATATAGTAAGAAGATGTTCGTAAGGAATATCAGTTCAAGCAGAGGATGTTAGGATAATCCCTCAAATTTCTTACCCCTAGGGTATGTCCCTGTTTGTGCCCTCCAGTACGTTTTCCTTGTTGAAGGGTGATAGGGTTTTACCGCGAGAGGGTTGGTAACTTGAAGAACTCCTTTGATCGTGCTCAAAAAGATATCGTGATATGATAGTAATATGATAATGATCACAGATATTAAAGAATGAAAAGGTTTTAGAAGTACCTCGATCTTGTAATAAATTGATTATTCGAGAATGTGTTACCTCGATTCCAAGAAGGTAGTAGTTGAGTAGATGAAAGTCGAGATACGTCTTCTCGAATACTTCGAGTAGTAGTAAGATGCTCGAGGGATGCTTGCCCCTTCGAGGAGATCTATCTTCTCGAACACTTCATATAGTAATATGGTGCTCGAGGGATTGTTGCCCCTTCGAGGAGATGTATCTCTCGAAACTCCAATTTTCGAGATTGTCCCTTACTAATTGTTCTTCTCGATCAACTGTGGAGCAAGTGCAGCTCCTCGATTATTTGTACAATCGAAAGCTTCTTTGTGCTACTTGTTGGCTGACATCTTCTTGGCCAAACAAAGATAATTTTTAGTGTGGTCACCGTGGCTGTTCAAAGACACCAAAAATCTCGTGCTTCACACAGAAATTTATTTGGTTGTGAAGACCAAACAAATCGGTCCCACCGGGTATGCCACTTAACGAAGCTTGGATTTGTACAGTGCTTAGGACGGGTGGCGATGATGACCTAGGCGGCGGCGAACGGCCTAAAACCTGCAAGACAGAGCCTCGGGTGTCTCCCGAGGGTAGACTCTCCGATTCTTAAGTCAATAAGGAAATAGAGATAATAGAGAGAGAGGGATGTGTATCGTGTGTAGAAGGTGTAGAAGATAGGTAGAAGATATGAATCGGGTGTCATGCCCACCAGGTTCCACCCTGGTTTAAAAATAAATAAATAAAAAATAAATAAAGAAATAGAAACAACAAAGGAAAAGAAAACTAAAAAAAAATAAATTTGAATTGGTTTATCCTTTTATAACCAAATGATAATAAAAAAAGTTAAACCTTTTAAATTATGGTGTTTATCATAAATTGCGGATATCAATGAGGAATTATGATTCTATTTATCTTCAACTATTTCTCAATGTACATGTATTATACTATAATTCTGGCGTTGAATTATGAAGAGAATATCTTGCAACTCGTTGTAGAAACGCCTGTGAAACTTCCTTCCAATATTTAAAAGATTGATAATTGCCAAATTATCTATATGTACTTAAACCTTTGATAGCTCCATCGACTCACATTTTCGAAGCCCAAAAAAAATGCCACTAATTTCCGTTTGAAAACTGTTCCCATCACCAAGATAGTTAGTTTCAACCTATTGAAAATATCCATTTACACCTCGAATTACAAAGCCATATCACGAATCCTTATTCTCTTTGCGGTGGTTCATTGGTGGCTGTCAACGTATGCTCCTTTGCAAAAGCACACTCTTTTCGGTTGCGATGGGGTTTATCTTTTTATAGCAATCCAATGTTGTTCTCAAGTCACATCTTAGATCTAGTCAAAGTTTTTTTGATCCACAATATCTTCTTAAACAATATATTCGTGAATGAAATCGTTGCATGATTGAGCAATTTCCTTGGGCGAGCGCAATAACTTGCGCCTTGTAGGAATTACGATCCGAAAATAATTCCAGGCGGAAAAAAAACCTCGAGCTCATAAAAGATTAGCAACCGATCCTAAAAATCAAAGGTGTATTTGATAAATAATTTGCTAAGTGATCATGTAGTTAAACTCGCACTTAAGATGGCTAAATCACACATAAGTAAAGTCAAAAACAAAAATTAATGCAGTAAATCAATAGTCTAAAGGCTTTTGCCTGAACAAATGTAAATCTGAAAAGTGAAGTGATTTTTTTGAATTATACGCTAAATACTATCCAATTATCATTAAAAAATTATTAAAATCTACATAATTCATCAATTCCACCAACTATAATTGGCCCAAACCACAACAATAAATAATGAAAGTAAATTTCTACGAAATTGTTCATGTTAACAAAATCACCTGCGTGAACATCAACTCTGATAACTTGACTCTTCCTTTGGTATTGTCGTTATTCCTGCAAAATTGCAAATTTCAAATAATCACCAAAAAACATAAAATCATTCTTGTATCAATGCCTTCTCTATCCCTTCATTCTCTCTTATGCCATTTTCTGGAATCCCAATGACTCCGATAGCTAAATTCACTATCTCATTACGAAGTATAGTTACTTTAGTATTATCTTCCAACTTATTAGCCAAACCTAGAGAAAGAAACAAGATTATGATTACTATGATACTCTTAATGTCAATTCCTTCTCAAACCCCTCGGTCAAGTATGCATCAAAACTTTTTTCTTTTTTAGGTTGAGATAGTTGAGCCATTTTATCAACGGAAATTAAATTTATAGTGACAAATACATAGTGGGAAAAAAAAGCGACTTAGTTTTATTCCCCCTTTAGTACAAGTTGTACAAGTAGAGTTGGTGCTGACCACATAACTACATTATGTTGAAGCAGAGAGTTCTTATAGATTGTTGTGATTAAACTTTGAAGATTCTTCTTCTATTCAGAACTCGAGCTTAGATGCAAAAGAAGTGGTGCTCAACGAATGAGAGCAGAATATTGAAACAGGGAGTTCTTTTGTTTCATATAAGCATAGTTTGTGCTATTTATAGAGTATATTGTATCAATCATTAGAGCTTCACAACATAAGTAGAAAGATTTAAAAAACAAAGTTATGTAAAAGAATATCTAGCTAGGTGCTACAATATGTTATTTAAGTATTTCTGATGTTCAAAACAACGGGTTATGGAAGAATAAAAAAACCTAGAGAATTTAGATTGTGCAAAGAGGAACAAACGGAATCGCATGGACGAAATGAAGTCCCGGAGGCCAAGAAATTAGGTTCTGGTGGCCTGTTTCATTACACGAAACAATAACCGTGTAAAATCATCTTCTTCGATGGGTGTCCCAAATAAAACAAACAATTCCAAATGAACATCAATCAATAAATAATGGGGGACATGTAGATAATGGGATCAAATC